GTCAGAAGAGAGGGCGAGAGACAAGGGGCGAGGGGGGTCAGCACCTGCTGCGCTCATCGGGTCATGGCCGTTTACATTCTAATGAGCGAGCCTACCTCGGCTGCCGAGACCCTGCTCTAGTCAGTCTGCGCGATGAAACGACCATGCCCGGTAGCATAGAGAGACGAGAGCCTCCCCCCCTCTGGCTAGACAGCATCTCATCTCTACACCCCGGCGGGTTTGGTTTCTTACCGCCCGCCCTTTGGGAAACAAAGGCGCGGGGAAAGCGTAACTGTGTGCGATCAGGAGCGGTACAGAGAGTCGGTTGGCTGCCGAGAGAGTCCTCTCGACATCTGCCGATCCATCTACAGTCACATCACTCCAGTCTCAGTCTCTCGAATAAAACGATTTAACCCCCCTCGCCTTTGGTTGGGTTGCCTTGTTGCCTTGTTGCCTTCCTCTTCTTGGAAGTCTTGCTCTTCTTGTTCCTATTGCTCTTGTTGGAAGTGAAGGCTTGGCCACGAAAGATGACACGGTGGTATAAGAAGAACGGCTCGACCTGCTGTCAGAAGAGAGGGCGATAGACAAGGGGCGAGGGGGGTCAGCACCTGCTGCGCTCATCGGCTCATGGCCGTTTACATTCTAATGAGCGAGCCTACCTCGGCTGCCGAGACCCTGCTCTAGTCAGTCTACGCGTTGAAACGACCATGCCCGGTAGCATAGAGAGACGAGAGCCTCCCTCCCTCTGGCTAGACAGAGAAACGGCCGTACATCTCATCTCTACACCCCGGCGGGTTTGGTTTCTTACCGCCCGCCCTTTGGGAAACAAAGGCGCGGGGAAAGCGTAACTGTGTGCGAGCAGGAGCGGTACAGAGAGTCGGTTGGCTGCCGAGAGAGTCCTCTCGACATCTGCCGATCCATCTACAGTCACATCACTCCAGTCTCAGTCTCTCGAATAAAACGATTTAACCCCCCTCGCCTTTGGTTGGGTTGCCTTGTTGCCTTGTTGCCTTCCTCTTCGTTGGAAGTCGTGCCCTTCTTGTTCCTAGTCCTCTTCTTGGAAGTGAAGGCTTGGCCACGAAAGATGACACGGTGGTACAAGAAGAACGGCTCGACCTGCTGTCAGAAGAGAGGGCGATAGACAAGGGGCGAGGGGGGTCAGCACCTGCTGCGCTCATCGGCTCATGGCCGTTTACATTCTAATGAGCGAGCCTACCTCGGCTGCCGAGACCCTGCTCTAGTCAGTCTACGCGTTGAAACGACCATGCCCGGTAGCATAGAGAGACGAGAGCCTCCCTCCCTCTGGCTAGACAGAGAAACGGCCGTACATCTCATCTCTACACCCCGGCGGGTTTGGTTTCGTACCGCCCGCCCTTTGGGAAACAAGGCGCGGGGAAAGCGTAACTGTGTGCGAGCAGGAGCGGTACAGAGAGTCGGTTGGCTGCCGAGAGAGTCCTCTCGACATCTGCCGATCCATCTACAGTCACATCACTCCAGTCTCAGTCTCTCGAATAAAACGATATAACACCCCTCGCCTTTGGTTTGGTTGCCTTGCTTGCCTTGGTTGCCGTCCTCTTCTTGTTCGTCTTGCTCTTCTTGGAAGTGAAGGCTTGGCCACGAAAGATGACACGGTGGTACAAGAAGAACGGCTCGACCTGCTGTCAGAAGAGAGGGCGAGAGACAAGGGGCGAGGGGGGTCAGCACCTGCTGCGCTCATCGGCTCATGGCCGTTTACATTCTAATGAGCGAGCCTACCTCGGCTGCCGAGACCCTGCTCTAGTCAGTCTACGCGTTGAAACGACCATGCCCGGTAGCATAGAGAGACGAGAGCCTCCCTCCCTCTGGCTAGACAGAGAAACGGCCGTACATCTCATCTCTACACCCCGGCGGGTTTGGTTTCTTACCGCCCGCCCTTTGGGAAACAAAGGCGCGGGGAAAGCGTAACTGTGTGCGAGCAGGAGCGGTACAGAGAGTCGGTTGGCTGCCGAGAGAGTCCTCTCGACATCTGCCGATCCATCTACAGTCACATCACTCCAGTCTCAGTCTCTCGAATAAAACGATTTAACCCCCCTCGCCTTTGGTTGGGTTGCATTGTTGCCTTGTTGCCTTCCTCTTCTTGGAAGTCGTGCCCTTCTTGTTCCTATTGCTCTTGTTGGAAGTGAAGGCTTGGCTACGAAAGATGACACGGTGGTACAAGAAGAACGGCTCGACCTGCTGTCAGAAGAGAGGGCGATAGACAAGGGGCGAGGGGGGTCAGCACCTGCTGCGCTCATCGGCTCATGGCCGTTTACATTCTAATGAGCGAGCCTACCTCGGCTGCCGAGACCCTGCTCTAGTCAGTCTACGCGTTGAAACGACCATGCCCGGTAGCATAGAGAGACGAGAGCCTCCCTCCCTCTGGCTAGACAGAGAAACGGCCGTACATCTCATCTCTACACCCCGGCGGGTTTGGTTTCTTACCGCCCGCCCTTTGGGAAACAAAGGCGCGGGGAAAGCGTAACTGTGTGCGAGCAGGAGCGGTACAGAGAGTCGGTTGGCTGCCGAGAGAGTCCTCTCGACATCTGCCGATCCATCTACAGTCACATCACTCCAGTCTCAGTCTCTCGAATAAAACGATATAACACCCCTCGCCTTTGGTTGGGTTGCCTTGTTGCCTTGTTGCCGTCCTCTTCTTGTTCGTCTTGCTCTTCTTGGAAGTGAAGGCTTGGCCACGAAAGATGACACGGTGGTACAAGAAGAACGGCTCGACCTGCTGTCAGAAGAGAGGGCGAGAGACAAGGGGCGAGGGGGGTCAGCACCTGCTGCGCTCATCGGGTCATGGCCGTTTACATTCTAATGAGCGAGCCTACCTCGGCTGCCGAGACCCTGCTCTAGTCAGTCTGCGCGATGAAACGACCATGCCCGGTAGCATAGAGAGACGAGAGCCTCCCCCCCTCTGGCTAGACAGCATCTCATCTCTACACCCCGGCGGGTTTGGTTTCTTACCGCCCGCCCTTTGGGAAACAAAGGCGCGGGGAAAGCGTAACTGTGTGCGAGCAGGAGCGGTACAGAGAGTCGGTTGGCTGCCGAGAGAGTCCTCTCGACATCTGCCGATCCATCTACAGTCACATCACTCCAGTCTCAGTCTCTCGAATAAAACGATTTAACCCCCCTCGCCTTTGGTTGGGTTGCCTTGTTGCCTTGTTGCCTTCCTCTTCTTGGAAGTCTTGCTCTTCTTGTTCCTATTGCTCTTGTTGGAAGTGAAGGCTTGGCCACGAAAGATGACACGGTGGTATAAGAAGAACGGCTCGACCTGCTGTCAGAAGAGAGGGCGATAGACAAGGGGCGAGGGGGGTCAGCACCTGCTGCGCTCATCGGCTCATGGCCGTTTACATTCTAATGAGCGAGCCTACCTCGG